TTTTTCTGTTTTAAACATTCGAATATATTTAAAATAACTTGTTGTGTTTGTATATTCAAATCCTTATTGTTAAAGTCATACCTGTCTATAATCTCACTACACTGTGCAATTTCATTTTTTTCATTCGCTCACGGTTTAAAGAACGCCATATTTATATTTATTGAAAGAAATTTAACCACACATACAAAACACACCGCACGACAGTACTCCACTGATATCGCAGACTGTCTTCTAGGAATATTTTCGAACACTCCTGCCCTTCGTAAACCTTCGGCCAATACAGTGCATTTAAGTTTACAATTCGATGTTTTCATTGGTAAACAACGGAGATGATGGATTTTGACACATATATATCAAGTACACGTGGACTGACCGTTCGTTTAATATTTACCGCATTGTATAAGGGGAGTAAACATTATTTTTCGTTTCTAAATTTGGCATAAGTGCCGTGCGTATATATTAAATATTGATGATTCCCCACATAACTGTGTTCTGCAATTGATAATGGAAGGACTATAACTATTTTGGCCCATAGTACCAAATGTAAAAAATAATGAATTATTAATCGCTAATTTTATGTTCTCATATGTGAGCTAAAAATGAAAATAATATGATGTTAGAGTGATTTTTCTGGGAACTATGATGAGAATATTACAAACCTTTTCCATTTTCTTGGAAAGGAGTGTAGTTACCCCTTATATTCAACAGAGAATAGGTTAATAACCAAATGATGTTTTATGCTGAGTCAACTATCCTAGTTGGAAGTATTGATAACCAAATGATTTTTATTGTTAGACAACTTTACAGAATTAGATAGATTGAAATAAAATGTAATTTATTAGGTTTCGTGTAGGAAAAAAGATGAAAATAAAAATATGTATAAGTTATACGTATATTAACAAGCAGACACAATAATAAAGAAGTGCCAAATACATTTGTACTCAAAAATTCTTGCTTGTGTAATAAGTTTTGTTTCACTCTCCTACAAAGTCCAACTTCACATGCTGGACACCAAGTTGTTACGTATTTTCGTTTTTCGTCTCACCTATGGATATAGGAACAAACATGACAAATTCTTTGTCCTTTTATACTTGTCGCAGTTGGAGGAACATTATCAAAATAATGTCTTTCCATGAAATTTACTGTTGCAAGTCGATCAATATTTTCTTGACTTCTTCTACCTGGACGCATTGCAGAAAGTGTTCTGTGTCTTTCTAAAATTTGTTCCACGATGTTTTGATTAAAAACTTTTAGTGGTAAAGAATTTTTGCCCGTTCTAACTAAATATAGGTTACAAGAATTGAGAATGACCAAGTCCATCAAGAAAAAGAATAGTTTCTTGTACCACTTTACGGTTTATCGAGTACATTCAACAAAAGACAGCTCCATATCTGCTTTATCCACCAGTCGCATATTTATTGTGTAATCTAACACCACAATCTGGTTTCATAAATCTCTCTTGCGTTCTGTGATTTATTTTACCACTGTCCATCAGCCTTCCCTCATGAATTGTTGTAAGAAAATTAACATCTCGCTTGTCTTTCCATTTCAAAGGCATCGTTTGCCTTCAATTCGTTAGTAATATTTAGCTACATCTAAGGCTGGGAAGTGAAGGAAAATGTTTCCTATTTTTCTTCACTGTACCACAAAATCCAGTTCTATGTTGTGTCAAATATTAACGCAGGATTAGTATACCAGTTACCTGTATAAAAAATATGTCTTTTTCCTTGGTAGTTTTCCATGAGTTTCTTGACAATAGCTTCTGCCTCACCAATTGGGTCTTATTGTGGTATATCTTGAGCCGAATCAATCACAAAGTAGAAATCATTTGTAAACAAAATGATGCCTGTTGGATGGAATATACTGCTTGAAAGGCAATCTTCCTTTATACAAAACAAGCAACTCATCAATACATTACTTCTGAAATGGTGAAAAAAAGAAAACAGAAAATTTATTCATATTTTCAAAAATAGTTCGAATTTTACAGAGCTTATCATTTTCTGGTAGATTATTATTATTTGAAAAATGTATATAACGTAAAAGAGCAGAAAATCTATCATGAGTCATGTATGTGCTAAAAAAGTCTCTTCGAAGCATATTTTTTTTTATTAATATTCAGCAATTGTTGTTTTTTTTAACTGTGTTAGCAAAACTAAAGCAAAAATTTATAGAATTCATCGACGTTGGTGTTCATCCATCGTTTTATCCTTGATCTTGGAGGCTCTTCATCATTTTGTGTACAAAATTCATATATCTATTCGGTTTAGTCATAATTATATTCATAATGTCTAAGTCAAAGTATTTTATAAATAGTCATACTCTGTAGCATTATTTGCTAATTTTAATATTTCCGTTACACCTGTATCTATATCATCAAAGTTATAAACCTTAGCACGGAAATGTTAGCCATTTTCCCATATCCAGTTTGGTTCACCTTCTTCGCTAGATCCTTCATCTACAGTATCATATTCTGTTTCACTACTTTTTTCTTCTTCATTGCTAGAACCACCACTGGAAATTCTTTCCTACTCGTCACTGCTACTACCACAATAACATCGTTCAAATGTGCATTGTACAGATGAGTGTTCAGATGATGTGGAAGGTACATCCATTATAATCGTAAAAACTGTATGACAATATTTATCAAACAACCTAACAATACTCGCTTGGCAAAAGTAAAACCAAATCGAGCAACACAAACTTCAATAATTTGACAATTATTTGTCAATAGGCCTTTTAATCACATTTTTTTTTGTGCGCATGCGCCAGTATCAGCCATCTTTTTCGTACTGTTTTTGTAAACAAGCATGTTAAAATGCACACGTGAAAAAAATTAAAATCGATAAATATTAATTTAAGTCTATATTCATTTAAAAAAAAGGAAGAAAAAGTCAAGTAATAATAAGTTTAGTGTCTGAATTGAAAAATACATTTTTACAATCAATTACATAAAGGAACAACGAAACAGTGTTGTTAGGTAAAAGTGACACACGGTAACAATCATTTAAAAGCAATACATATTATTTTATAAATTTTCCAGAGCCTTGGCTGCAATATCGTAAAAAATTATCAGGTAAAGTCCATATTAAAACATGTTCAAAATGTGTAAAAAATATGTGTAAAAAAATGTGGTCGAAGTAACAATGGTTTTAGATGGATTAATGATGTTACTAAAGATACTTATATTTGTTTACTACATTTTCATGAAGAAAGTGGTCCAACAGAAGAACATTCATATCTGGTATTAAACAATTTTTTTAATATTAAATACTACTTCGGTATACACAGTAATATGATTAAAATACTTGTGATTATCTTTCATGTTAATTAAAGTGTTTTTGCAAGTACTAATAGTTGGTTGGCATAATTAATTAGAATAGAGTTATAATTATTATTATTTGTTTTCATTCATTTTTTACACAGTTAAAAAGTATTGATACACCTAACCTCTCAATCAGTCCACTTTATTCCTTTGTAACAAACGTCCAAGATACTTTAACCACCTTTTCAACTGCTCACAACTATGCGCTTCCACAGAGTTATAAAAAAGTTATTCACCATCAACGATTTTTTCTAATTATTAATTTTTCTGTAGAGATAATATTGCTTTCCCAGCCATTGTCGATAAAAAATAGTACGAATCTTTTGAATTACCGCTATTTCAACATGGTGGCTGCGCTTGCGCTCATCACATGATGAAAAGGTCTATTGCATTTGTTTATCAGCACAAAAGTAGGCTTTATTTTTGTTTCTCAAACTACCTAAAGGAGATGGGCGAGCGCACTTTGCACTATAATAGTAGAGGATCATTATACAATCGTTTCTAAAGCGAAATATGTATTATTTCTTGTTATAGATAAATGCCTGTAGGCCGTTTACCTATAAAAAATATTGATGAGTGCTGTAATACAATATATTATTACGAAGTTGTCAATAAGCACCTCCCGGACATTGAAGTAATTGACAAAACTTGTGTAAGTCGCTCATTGACGACTGCCGTAGCGAAAGGTTTAAAAAACATTAATAACATTTTTGATAGTAAAATACAAAAAAGACACAAAAAAGGTTTTTATACAGAATTTCTTATTGGGAAAGTGGCACACATTAACTGTAGATAGAGGCAAACCAGATGCTTCCAGATACCTCATACTTAATGGCTTTTTTTTATCAATTTTGGCGATTTCTTGGTTGACTTATAAGTTAAGAATCACCTTGAATATATTTTTTACATTTTACTCACTTAGTCTCCATAACTTACTGAATTTATTAAATAAAAATCTAATGTATTATTTATTAAACAAATCTAGTTTCACATATTATTTAGTAAGTCAAGTAACTTCATAAAAATATTAGATCCCATTGGAGTCGGCTGTTGGCCAGTCATATATCATACTAGAAATTATTTGTTTTACTAGGAAGTATACTGGATTAAGGATTCCAAATTGATGGGGAATTTGGCAGTATAGGCTTTATATGTCTCTTCCGCAGGAAAAATATGACGAAATGAACCCATCTATATATATATAATATTTACACCACAAACCACAATAAATAATTTACTGCTGATTCAACAACAAACAATTTCAAACTGAAATTTTAATCTTTACAGTCCCAAACGTGATGACACGCTAAAATATACGCCTGCGTTTTGAAAAGCTAACATGTTTGTGTGATGTTTTCGAACTAAACGCAGTGAAACAGGCATCTAGTTAATGCAGTTCTAGTTCTAGTCTGATATTTTTTTTCCTTACGTACCAAATGGTTCAGACTCAGGAAATGCCTCCAAATACGCGTTCAATAAAATTATAGAAAAATCGCATAAAACAAAAATGGCCGAAATTGTCGTTTGTGTCCAAATAACCGATTCAATTGTTTTTTAATTTATAACTTTTCATTACATTTATTTACATACTTATATTGTATTGTATTGTAGATAATGCTAATTTCAAAGAGCCAAAGGTAGATATGACAGCAGTATGTTAACTGTTATATTGTTGCAG